GAACATTAGATTGTTCTCTTCTAGTCTGTAGTTTAAACTGTTAATATTTAGTCTAAGTTCCTCCGTAGAAGCTGGATGAACAGAGCCTTGGAAAAAAGCTCAGAATGCAACAAAGACAAGCTCAACAGCACCACAAAACTAAACTATCTGAAACAGCATCTGCAAAATAATTATAATAAGATTATTACTACTACACAAAAAACTAAGGGTTTAATAAGTTATTTGGCTGTGGTGGAGCTGATTTTATGTAAAATGTTGGTTTGCTGGTCTTGTTTGGAAAATCTGCGCAGTAACTCGGAGAATTAGAGTTGTACATCAAGTTAGTATATTTCTGTTACTGTCAGTCATGCAGCTGGACACATTTTAAAGTGTAGTACTGAGCTTTGAAATGCGATGATCACAATGTAAATTTTCAGCAGGCAGAGGCTGTATCATAGATTAGGTCACAGAACAGTTTATATACGAATAAAGCTGAAGGGTCATAGCATTAAAATCATCAGCAGTTCAGAGAGAACACCGGGTCAAAGTTCACATATACAAAGTGAATGGCTGCGCGGTAGAAGTGATCTGACACTCTGGTAAACATGAAGTCTATTACAGAATGGCTGAACGCAGACAGATTTTCACTTCCCCCTAATCGCAGTATAGCACAAAGAGAGGACGGGCACTGCCTGAGGAGATGGTTATCAGGCTTGTTTTGTCATGCTCTGCAGTGTAGTACTGTATGTGCTGTGTGAAAACACCATCAGCAAGCAGAAATGTATATGAACTGTAAATCAGATCGCAGGACTCATGCAGAGATAATGATTTAAAGCCCCTCACAGCTGTCTGGCTGCTGTTTCATCGCAGCAGGAGAATGTCAGATGTTAAACAAAAATGTGGAATGAGCGTTAACAGAAACAGACAATGCGTGCCCACTTGTCCTCGCCACAATTCCCTTCATTCATGCTGGACAGCAGAGCTCAGCAGCCTGGAAATAACCAGCTGTGCGTTTCAAATGAACCCAGTGTGCTGACTCCAGAGTGCCCTTCGTGCAGAGCCAGACACAAAAGAAAAGAAGGCATTTATAGAAATGATGTCACCGACGGGACTTTCATTCATATCAGCACAAAACCCACTCTCACGTAACAGCCAAGACACCACCATGACCTCGCATCCACTGTGGTTTTACAATATGCGTAAGTGAGGAGGTATTTGTGCTTTTCAGTCGAAGTACCATGCAAAATGACTTCTTTTATAGCTTTTTTTTCATACAGCCTATTATAACCTGCCCACCCACCTTACTCATTCGAGTGTATTCCATTAAGTATCAGGGATATGCAATTTTAACAGGGCGCTGCAGAGTACTGTGCAATGCACGTCCACCCATGGCTTGTATCAAGTATCTGTGGGAGGATAAAAGGTCTCTCCAGCACAATAACTTTCAAGTAATTACATGTCGCTCTCATTAAGTGAATTGCAAGATATGAGAAAATGCACGCTTTATATACGCCTCTTTGCAAGAGGCGTATATAAAGCCCTCTTTAGTTTCACATCTGTCTGCTCTTGTAACCAGGTTTGAGACCCACTGGGTTCATATTCATTAAGCATCTCAGATATATATTTAGGGCTGTTTGTTTGAAATCTGTACCTTACTGGAAGTCAAGGCAGGGAGCTGAGAATCAGAGCCGTCTAACGGTCTTTTTAGTAAGGACAATAAAAAGAGCATCGCATTAGGCAGCCCTGCGAGACATAAAGACATGAATAAGCTTCTCTGGATCTTGTAAAATGTAGTAAGAAGCTCAGGATGTTCCTTGAATTTGATCATCTTTCATTGAACTTTCTAATACGATTTTCTTCACATTTTCTTATTTATAATTTGTCTACTTTTAGTCTACTGATTTTATGCCCGTGGGTCAGTGTCTTATTTTATCGATTGTTGTTTTTGCACATGATGTGAAAATTTGAGGTAGAGCGGAGGTTTCACTTACAGTGATCAGTTCAGCTTGT